AATACTACTTATACACATCATGTTAGCCTACTGTGCGACAGAAAGATTCTTTTGAGAACCAATGAATGTATCATGTATGTATAACTCAACAGTGCCCTGGATGGGCTGACCAACAGAGGAAGACCAGGGATGTACAAATAGACAACACTAGCATACTGTGCAGATTGAAAATAAGAGTTCAGATAGTAATAGTTACACAGAAGGACCAATCTAGCTTGCATAAAAGGACAATAACTACTAGTAAAACCATTCAAAACAACAGGCATACAAATATACGGAACAAAATCTACAAAACCCAATAATTTAAAATGAATAACCATCAGAATCAGGAACTTTATACATTTAACAACGGACAACCATGGTCAGACAGATGCGTATCACTAAAACTTTCCTGTTCTATATGCTAGCCTACATAAAAGGACAATGACGAAAAACCCTAGTGAACCATTAAAGACAGCACTCGTGCATGTACCCAGAACAAAATTACCAAAATCCAATTGTACAAAACCAAACACCTTCTAACTCAAGCACTCCATCCATTAAACCAGCGACAACTAACAACATGGGTCTCAGCACGCGTGAATGTACCCAGAATAATCAATAAAATTCCAATTCGGGTACCGTATCCATTCAATCGGCGACAACTAACAACATGGACCAGTTAGACGCATCATGATTCGAAAAAAAATCAAATATTTTCATTATTTTGAGCTTTTGTGAATCAGCATTCCCCAAACACAATCACAAAGGGACAACATAGCGGATTTTGACCTAGCATTACCTACACAGTCATCATTAAGTTCCAATTCAAACCCACCAAAAAACCCAATGCAGCCTAACCCTAGCTCAAGAAATCACCACCAAAACACTCAAAAGAAATAAAATTTAAAACAGAAAAGTAAAATCCGATACCTTGAACAGCGCCCATCTCCTTCTCGACCTTGGCCTGCATGTCGCGGAGAGCTCCAGCCTCTTCCTCTATCTCTTTCAGCCGCTTCTTCATATCCTCCAGCTCCTACACCACATTGAAACCAGAACGCGACCCGAATCAACCCAACCGGGCCAAACAAAAAGCTAGAGCACCAGATTTACGAGGCTAAATTGATTGAGGGAGTACCTTGGAGTTAGGGTCGTCGTTGTAGTCTTGGTCGTCGTCGACCCCGTCGGCCCTGGACGACATGTCAACGTCCTCGCCGTCGTCGTTGGGGATCTCGGCGCCGTAAACCTCGTGCTCCTGTTGCTCCTCCATAGCCCTCTCTCTCGGTGGCTGTCGGATTGAGTGCGATTCGGAGAGGTCTGTGTGCGTGTGTGTCTGGTTTTTTGAGGTTTTTGGTTTTGGGGATATTATATATTTGGGATCGGGCGGTCGGTGTGTTTGGGCTTGCGGCTTGGCCGCTTGGGGTTGAGAGGAAGAAAGCGGCTCAAATTTGAAGTTTTAGGGAATTTGTAGGGGTATTTTGGGGTTTTGACGTGTTTATCCGCTTGTCTTTGATTGGCTCGTTGGATTCCGACTTTTATGGGCTGATGATGAAAGTTTAAGATTGAACCGCGTGGATTGAAAGAAAATCATGCGGCTGCCGTTCGCTTCTTGCTTTTCGTTTTGCTTTAGGTCACTGTTGCCGTACTAAAGTCCTTGGGCTTTCCGCGAGAGAGGAGAATTCTCTCTTCTATTCTTATTATTTTTTTCTCTCCTCCTTTGATACTTTGTTTAAAATCAATATCAGATGTTAATATGGATTAATCGTGATTGTTCAACGTAAGAGGAGATAAGAGGGAAGAAGAGAGAGATTAGGAGATGAAAGAATCATCATTCTTCTATAAGTGGCCAACATCATCAGCAACTGAGTCTTAGTATTGGATTTCAACCACTAATCTTGGCTTATTTTCTAGATAAAATTTGGCATAAAAATAAGTTTTAACCCACGATTTTTTTTAGCTCAATGATTGAAGAAGATTTAAGCAAGTTTAAAATTTAAATTTTGAATTTTAACCCAACAGATGAAGTTAGTCTACCATAAGAGCTACTATACCTAAAAGAATTTAGCATAGAAATTACACTAGGAAGAGGGAAAAAGTTATGAAGACATGAATTTGAAGGTGTTTACTTGACTTTCACAAACAACCTAGACATTAATTGAACTCGTGAACCTTTTAATGCCTAGTTTATTAATAAACATTGCAATTTTCAAATTTCAGTTAGTTGGAATGGTTTATGACCATGACAAAGTGATCGTATGAGAATATAAAAATGGTGTCGACAGCGATAGTCGTAAAAGTTAAGATTGACATTGTTAAAGGAGGCCCCGAGTTCGTATCCTCTCTCTCGATCCATTGTTAAAATTAAGCGAGACTAAAAAATGGTTTGCAAGTTGACATGCGAGTTCATGCACTAAATTTTCAGTGAAGGAAGTGAAGAGCAGTGTCACTTTGGCTTCAAATCCACCGGCTGCAGCTTTTCTTTCTCTCTGGTGCTTTCTCTCATATTTCAAGGCCAACGCAAACCGTTGAGACGCGGTAACTGGCGGTGAGGAGGAAGGTGGAAGTCGACGACGGAGTCGAGTGGCTGACGATGGTGGGTTGGGTGGAGAGTTTTGTTGGCTGTCGAGTTTTTTTTTTTTTTTTTTTTTTTTTTTTTTTTTTTTTTTTTTTTTTTTTTTTTTGAAATAATTGGAGCAATGGTTCCTAATGTTTAGCTTAATTGGAGCTTTGATCCATAAATCTTAGCTCACTTACATCTTTGGTCCTTGAACTTTAGCTTAATTAGATCATTGGTCCCTGAACTTATTATAATGTAGACAATAGTCTTTTTTGCTAACTCTGTTAGCACTTCTATCCAATTTTATCCAAAATAAGGGTTTACAGGGAAAAGATTGAATAGAAGTTTTAACGGAGTTAATTAAAATGATCATCGCTTTGCATTATAACAAGTTTAGAGATCAATACTCACACGTTTTTAACTCAAAGACCATTTCCGATGTAAACAGAATGGAGGTAACACAAGCACATATTTGAAAAATTAAAAACAAAATGGTTAATATTGTCATATCACATTACGTTAGCTTTATGTTTCTTGCATATTTCTTATGTAATGGATGTGCTTTTTTTATTTTTTGTGAAAGTTGTTTAGGAATTCAAAAGTTCTTGAAGTGCTTTATGCAAGAAACATATAATTGATACTTCTTTCAAATGCACTTCAAGTGCAAACACTTTGATTGAAAACGTTTTCAATCATTTTAAAATCACTTCCAAACATTTCAAATTGTTTGCTTCTGCATAAACTCTGAGCAATCATATCTCCATCAAGGTAAAAAAAGACCTTTTAACCAAAAGGATCAAGTGATGAGGCCTCAAAAAACCAGTCAACAAGAACAAAATTTTTGTTAGTGGCCAAGGCATTGACTCTTTTCAATATGTGGCATTTCAAGTAAGTTGGTGATGTTGCCCACTTCCTAGAATCATCTCAATCGCAAAAGCAGCTCAAAGATGCTTTTCTCTGCATTAAAAAGCCAAAAGCCAAAAGCAGCATAACACTCCTCTGCCCTAAAATGGCAAACTGGCAATGAGTCTCGTTGAGGCAAGAAAAAAATTGCATTATATATGAGTGAAGACATATTTTTGATCAAGTTGGCTGCCAGATTGACCTCCATGATCTTCCCTTTTGCTCCAAAGAATATATTCCCTGGTGACAGCCAAATGGTGCAGACACACATATATGAAATAATAAAAAAGAATTATGGCACTGAAATTATTTTGGTTCGTTTTACAGGGCTATAAATAGAGAGTTCAAACACCGATCTTTGCATCCTCATCTCAACATTGTAGCGAGTTTACGAAGTCTTAGCGAGAAAGATTCGAGCCTACGACCAATTACTTAACAGGCGAACACTGGGTGAGAAGTGAAGAGGAAGAGAGGTCTTGCATGAGAGTTAGAGCCTTGTTTGGTAGCCAAGGATGACTTGCCTGCTCTACCTAGAGAGACGAACTCCACTTGTTTGTGTGAGGAAAACTCCTGTTTGGCCAGGCAGGCATCCCTGGCTAATTTGACAGGCTCTTCTTTCTCATGCCAGGCCTTCCTTCTTCCCTGAGCAGAACTGGGGAAATGATGACTTTTTCGTGAAAAAAGGTGGGAGCTTTTTAATTTCGCTAAATTGCACTAATAGTCATTGTAATTTGCTTGAATTTTCACTTCCGTTCTTATGCTTTGAAAAATGCTATTCGCATATCATTTTTATTTCTCATTTACCTTTGTTAATTTTTTGCCATTGATTTTCTTTATTTTATTTGATTTAACGGCCAAAATTAAAAGAAATGTGTGAGAAGTAAAAGTGGTTGTGTGGATAGCATAAACGTATGCTTTTTCCTAGCATTTTTGTCCTTGTAGTGATGTAGTTTCATTTTGTTTGCACTGCTAATTAGTCTAATTCGTCAAATTTTTTTTTTCCAAGTTGGGTTTTTCAAATGAGAAGATATGCACAAAAAGGAATGAAAAGTTTAACTTAGATGAGAAAATGAATTAAATGGTAAACATAACGAAAGTATAAGAACGAAAATGTAAGAAAAACTATACAAATCCTGAAAATTCGAGGTCTTTGTGACTATAAGAAATGAGTTCGGCTACAAAGATACATATCACTCAGTTATTCAAAGTTTATGCAAAATCTAATAACAACAACTCATTAAATACTAATATGCAAAGTATAACTATTGATTTTTCGAACTACTCAGCAATACGTATTAAAAATTGATCTAAACTTTTGAGACCCCATTAAACCCAAGTGGGCCCCAATCTTTCTCTGAGTCGTCTTCTCAACAGAAGCAACGGTTGGATTTGCTCCCGTATACAAAACTATTTGGCGGGAGATATCGTTTGTCTGGACAAAGATATTTTCTTTTGCATCTTCTTCCTTCATCATCTTCATCTTCTTCTTTATTGCCAAGTAAAGAAGGAGTTTGTATGTTCTCTACATCACCAATTCACCAACAACACAAATTATCAAAAAATGCAGGAACTTCAATCGGATTGGTGCTCCCCTACTCGCCTCCAAACCAGCCCCATTGCCCGATTCGATTTTCCGGTACGAATCACTGCATCCATTACCCTTTATCTCCATCAAGATTTCACCTTTCTCCGCCGTTCATCCATGCGTTGTTGTTTCTTCGACATTCGGTTTCTGATTTGGTGTTCTCGAATTTTGGGTTTTGTTTTTGCATCTGCAAATTCAGGGAGATCGGTTTATACCCAGTAGGAGTTTGATGGATCTTGATCAAGCGCGCAGTTTATTGACCAACAGAACAACGCCCACCCGAAATTCGAATTTCAATGTATGAATCCACATTGCTTTCAATTCATCAGTTTTAGTCTCTTTCTTTGTCTTTTTGGGAATTGTTCCTGGGTTTTGTGGGGTTTAGTTTTTACTTCAATTTGAAAGTTGCATTTAACTTCTGAATATCAAGATTTGGGCCTGCTCCAATTCTATCAGTTTTTAGTTTTTTTCTTTGTTTTCTGGTAAATTGTTTGTGGGTTTTGTTGTTTTGTAGTTTTTACTTCTGTTTGAGTGCTGCATCTAACTTCTGATGAATTTCAAGATTTGGGTCTGCTGTGTTTTCTTGTAAACGATTCTCAAACTTGTTGGGTCTCTGCAGGATGTATACAGACGGAGCTTGGAGGACAAACTGACTTTGGATTCGGATGGGAATCCATTTAGGATGCTGGTTTTTAGGGGAAGTCCCAAATCAAACCGAAAGCCGATCCGTTCTGTTGATCTGATGCGACAGGATGAAGCAAAGGAATTGGACAGTAGCATTAAAAATGTTCAGCCTCGAAGATTGCCTAAGGTACTAAAAACGAAATGGTTGTCAAACGTTATCAAATGGTCTATATTTTTTGAACTTTGATCTAATTGAGTGCGAATGCTGCAGGGGGAAGCTAGGGTTCTGGATGCAGTAAACATAAAAAATGACTTTTACTCCAGCGTCATGGATTGGGGGAAGAACAGTATTCTTGCAGTTGCTCTGGGGAGCGATTTGTTCCTCTGGAACTCGACGAACCGCGAAGTGCACAAACTGCTGCATGTTGATGATCCGAGTGATTTCCCAACCAGTGTAACCTGGTCTGAAAATGCTAAAACTTTAGCCGTTGGATATAGGCGATCCAAGCTCCAACTTTGGGATGCTGAGACTTCCAAGCTTGTAAAATCTCTCTCAAACACCCTCTCATGAGTTTCGAGTTTTTTCATTGTTTTCGAGCATTTGGTTCATCTGTTTGACACGCAGGTTAGGAGGTTTGAAAATCACAAGGACAGGATAGCCACCGTTGCGTGGAATGGTCACGTTTTAACCTCCGGCAGCCGCGACGCATCCATCATCAACCATGATGGTAGGTCAAAAATGTTGTTTCACATTCATCTTATTGCAACATTTCACATATTTTTTGTTAACTGTTTTCGCAGTCAGAGCAGGGAACATTGTGGCTTCCAGATTGCAGGCGCATAAAGAAGAAGTGTGCGGTTTGAAATGGTCAGAAGGAGGCAATGTACTGGCAAGCGGAGGCAATGATAATCTTCTGTACATCTGGGACTCATCGAAAATGAACTCGAGTCGTTTCTTGTTTCGGTTTAGAGAGCATAGTGCTGCAGTCAAGGCCCTCGCGTGGTGTCCCTATCAGTCTGAGGTGCTTGCCTCTGGTGGAGGCACAGAAGATGGGTGTATTAAGTTATGGAATACAAAAAAGGGAACCTGCATTAAAACCATTGAAACCAATGCTCAGGCAAGTTATAGAATTCGGTCTCCGTTTTGTGAGCTTTTCGTGTTTTTTTTTCCTTTTCGGTCTCTTGTTACCTGCAATCAGTTCACGTTGTATATCCAGGTCTGTGGACTGGAGTGGAACAGGCACCACAAGGAGATTCTGAGTGCCCATGGCTATAGTCGAAGCGAGCTCATCAAGAATCAGCTGTGCATTTGGAGGTATCCTTCTATGGCGAATGTCGGAAACTTGAATCGCCATACGTCCAGAATCCTCCATGTTTCCCAGGTTTGACAACCCGTAAAGCTTATTCATCCCATACATCTGGGAATATATCTCGATGTTCCTATTTAGCACTTATCGCGTGAGTGCAAATGGTTGTTGACGTGAAATATCTTCAGAAGCATCTAATTTGGTTTCTTTTGATTGATTTTCGGTGCAGAGCCCAGATGGGTTAACTGTGGTATCAGCTGGCGGAGATGAGACACTTCGATTCTGGGACATCTTCGGACCACCAAGCATCGACAAAATCTCTCCTCTGGATGGCCTCTTATCTCTCAAGACTTCTCCCTTACGATGATGCGGATAAAAGCTGTAGTTAGTTAATGGAGAAAAGAAAATGTACATGAACAGCTCTATAGATTGTAAAAAACCACAGAGAAATATACATGTTCCCTTATGACTTTTGCACTGCCAAAAATTTCCTTGAGAAAAATCAACAACGTGTTGTATTACTTTTTGCTAAATCGTGCCCTACATTCTATCAACTCATTCCTCGTGGATACACAAAATTTGGTACATGCCGCCTAAACTTAGATCACCTCTATTACATTTGGAAGGCAACGAGCCTATAACTGTTCCCGGATTATCTAGACTGCAAATAAACTGAACTCATTCGGTCTCTGAGTCATCGCTCTTGTTGTCCACATAAATCTCTGGAACTTCACCGTCTGATGTTTTCTCCGCCTCCTCTCTCTTCTTCCTTTCCTCTTCTTCCTCTCTTTCAGTAGCTCGAGCCTTCGCTATTTCAAGCCTAGAACTGACTGCTTCCCACGATACAAGTTTCTCCATGAAGATTGATAAGTAATCTGCTCGCCGGTTCTGAGGGAAGAATCAAAGATGTGGTTGTTAGATGCATTGGTATAAGACAGAATGCATAGGTCCCAAATCACAAGACGGAAGTTCAAATGTTCAATAAACAGAGACTCACCTGAAAATCGAGGTAGTAAGCATGCTGTTGAAACAAAAGCAATTTAAATCTGTTAGTAATGGCTTTTCCCAAATGAACTGAGCAATATAACTACTTCCATATGGGAAGAAACACGAAAATGTCTAAATACCTCCCAAACATCGATAGTAAGGAGTGGCTGCAGAAATCAATATGAAAACTCATTACACACAAGGAAGAAAAGTCTTAATGTGAATGGTAAGATTTCCTAAAGACTATAGAGTAGTACAGTACTCATCTTTACTCACAGAATAATCCCAAATAAGCGGGTTAACGGCATTAGGACTCTTCACCACTACAAGCTTCTTGTCTTCATCAGATGGCTTAGGATTTACTGCATTTCCAACATCAAGTCTATTTGCTTTATCTGGAAAAGGCAATACATATATTAGTTTACGCAAATTCAGCATGGAGAGGAACATTAATCTTAAAGCATATAATCTGAAGTGTCATGGTGGGAAGACAACTACTCACATGCAAGCCAAGCCCAGCCAGAACCCAACTGTGTAGTTGCAGCTGACCTTAAATCGTCAATCAATCTCTCAAAAGAACCAAAGTCTCTATTAATTAGTTCTAGAAGTTCCCCGGATGGTTTTCCCCCGCCACCTGGTTTCATGGATTCCCAGAAGAAGTCATGGTTCCAGATCTGCAAACAGGCCAAAAAACGAGTGAGTAGTTAACAATATGGCATTGATGCACACCAAAACATTATAAACTTGAAATTGCAAAAAACGCATCAGGTGGATTAATCATTATCTACCTTAACATTCAAGTAGTCGTAAATTTACCAATACCGAATATAAGCTTAAAATGTGTAACTTGAGATGTACTTCTCCACACTTCCAGAATATAATCAACTAAAACAATTCAAAATCGTTACAGAAATCCATGTTGCGGACAGCATACCTGCGCTGCTTGATTGAAAGGTGGGAGCATATCCCCCTTGTTGTATGTAGCAAGTATGACATCTTCCAATGACAATTCACCTAGTTCTGTTCCTGCTATCAACTTGTTTAGGTTATCCACATAACCCCTATGGTGCTTCCCCCAGTGATACTCTAACGTCTCCTTGCTCATATGCGGCTCCAATGCATCCTGCTCAAAACCAAACATCAAAACAAAGTGTCAAATTTACACAGCATTGTCATACAAAGCGAACAAGTACCTGAATTTTACGGATCATTTCCAGCTAAACTAGCTAGAATTCTCAATATATAGCTACTCAAAGTACAGTTTCTTATACGAGTACCCGAATTTTACCATCTCAATATGGTTAATAAAGGATGAAAGCTGGTAACTTTATGGAAATGAGTCAAAACCCACTGGTAAAACAGTGATTAGCTACACAAAACCGGCTTGTATTTATATATAAGAAACTTCATATGCAAAGAAAAAGCTTACTTACCAGTGGATATGGAGGAGGCTTCAGCTCAAATTGGGCCCTAATATCGATGGCACCGACTTTCCTTCTGCATTTTCTCTACTTTGACAGCATCAAAATCCCAAATTAAAATTTTATATAAAACGAAATCAAATTTTCAAACATTTTCTTCAAAATTCTCAGAAACCAAAGGAAACCCATCTCTGCTTGTACGAAAGTAAAATTTAAAAAATTTTAAAACAGGCGAACCTGTTTCTTTGGCCACTGCAAACTGCGAGCCGGTCCCAGACTTCCACTGAGCCCTGCAAATTTCGATTAACCGTTAAACTTAATGAAAACCCACTTGCACACAGAGGAAGAGAAGGAGGGGGGAGGCGGGTAACGAGTGCAATGACCTTGACAGGACGGACCCAGTGCGCACGTTAGCGGACCAGTCGTAGCTTGGGGTGCCGTTGCTGCTGCTGCAACTCCGACTGGTGTAACCATGTCTTAAAGTTGAAAACTTTGGATAAAGCAGCAGCTCAACACTTTTAACAGGGGATGGGACTGAATAGTATATGTTTTATTTTGGGAGGGGCTTGAGTAAAATATATCAACTTTGTTGGGTCCATCTTATGTGTCATTGTGTCAACATTTTTTTGGTCAATCATTGTGGCAACTTGATGTCGTTAAATTAGGTAAATGGTACTGAAATTGGAATTTACTTTCCAAACCTTTTTTTTTTTTTTTTTTTTTTTTACTGATTCCATACCATTATTGGAGAACAAGATTTGAACTTTGCACATTAAATTAATAATCTAATTTGGCCAATTATTGAGTCAAAGTTGGATGTAGAAACGGAGCATTGAATTACTCTTAATCGATATTGTTCAAACTTAATTATTTATTGTTAAATGTTAGAGTTTTATTAAGAAATATCTCAATTACCATATATTACTAGGTGGTAAGTTTTATTACAAAATATTTTTAGTCTTCTAAATTTCTGAATGTGAGACTTATATATAATACATCCCTTACATAAGATTATTACATAATAGGCTACATGTGGAATCAATCTCACATTGAACATTAACGTGGAAACATGGTGTTACATTAAATTTGGTAACTTAGGCATGACCCGAACCCACATAACTCACAATCAACCCCACTCTAATATCATGTTAAATAATGTCCCATGAAGGCATAGTTGCCCCATTAGGGCATGCACTTCCTATGTTTTTTTTTTCTTTTTTCTTTTTCTTTTTTTTTTGTGATGGCGACTTGGAGAGTTGGAGTTTTGCAAAATCCTCTTGGTTTGGTGAAACGTGTAAGCAACTCGGTCGAATGTGGTGCCAACTACCTCCAAATGAGAAAAATGTCTGCAATCTCACTCACTGCGTGACCATTTTCAGTTGCGGACGATTCAGTTTTGTTGTATTAGTTTAGTTTCAAATGGAACGGAAAACTAAGAGATGTAATGCGAATGCATTTTGCAGGTATACGAAAGATGGCGAAGAAGGACAATGCAAGGTACCAGAGGCAGTTGATGGAAAGCCGCTCGTGGTACTGCGAAACGGCAGATCATGAGGATAACAGAAAAATGTGGATGATTTCAGCATAATATTGTAATGTAAGTGATAAATATGCCTTACATTTTCCTTGTTATTAAGCCTGTGATTTTGCTGGTGCTTAGGAAATTTGGACTTTCACATTTCCGTATACAGAACAGGAGAACGAAAACAGATGACGAAAATCACAGGGAGAATTTCTTCTTCCGCTTAAGCATTTACTTGATGTTATCTGCGGTTCCTGTAAAAGAAATGACAAAGGAAAGTTCAATAAACGGAACATTTCTTATGCCTCCGAACTAATTCAGAAGCAATGACGATCATATTCAGTTACCTGTGTCAACCTGCCAGCAAGACTCGGAGATGACGTTGAGGTATCACGGTCTTCATTCTCCGTGTTGAGAATGGTAGATCTTATCGCCCTCATGATGCTGCCGTATGTGGTTCCATGTCCATGCTCGATGGCTTGGGTGAAAGAAAAAGTCATGACACCAGTTGGAGTAGTCGTATGCCAGCTAAACTTCTGTCTTTTGCCTCACCTTATGAGAAACTCTTTCAAAAACAACCACACTATGATTTTTTAAAGGTTTTTGGGTGTCGCTGCTTCCCTTGGTTAGTGCCTTATACTCATAATAAGCTTCATCAGAAATCAAAACCGTGTGTATTCTTAGGGTATTCACTGAACCACCAAGGTTACAAATGCTTGGATCTGTCAACAAGACGCATTTACGTGTCTCGCCATGTCCTATTCGATGAGGACTGTTTCCCCTTTAGGGGACTCACATCTGTCTCTGAGAACGTCTCCACTTCAGGTAATCCTCAGGTCTCGGACCTAGTATTAAATTTTGATTGCCCTAGCACCTCTAGTGTCTCTCCACCTCGAAACCTTCCTCTGGCCGAGCCACCTCTTACCCAGGATATCCATCCTACCTCACTTACCCGTGTCCCCGACCTCTCCCATCCTGATCCACAATTTTCTCCTATTGCAGACTCATCTTGCCCTCCCCTACTAGTGTCATCTAATATTTCCCCAGACGCCCCACCATCAAATGAGCAAGTTAGGGTCACTCCTGAAACCTTGATACCTGTCACTGCCAGTGGTTCACAACATGTGATTACCACACGCTCCAAGTCCGGAATACATAAACCCAATCCCAAATATGTTATGCATTTAACTGTTGACAAGTTACCTGTTGAACCCACGTGTTTCAGTCAAGCTATCAAGTCTCAGGAGTGGAGGAATGCCATGGTTCAAGAGTTCAATGCCTTGCAAAAATGTGGGACTTGGACCTTGGTCCCTTATCATTCCAAAATGAATCTGTTGCCTAATAAATGGGTGTTCAAGGTGAAACGACGTGCAGATGGTTCGGTTGAACGCCATAAAGCTCGCCTTGTCGCCAATGGATTTCATCAACAAGCGGGTGTGGATTACGGTGAGACCTTCAGTCCCGTTGTTAAGCATAGTACGATCAGGCTTGTTTTAAGTCTTGCCGTGTCCCACAGATGCCCTGTCAGGCAGTTGGACGTGCAAAATGCGTTTCTGCATGGGTTTCTGAAAGAAGACGTTTACATGCGACAACCACAGGGCTTTGTTGATCAACAATTTCCATCTCATGTGTGTAAACTACAACGTAGTATTTACGGGTTAAAACAAGCACCCAGGGCCTGGTTCCAAAGGTTCTCAGATTTTCTGCTAGAACTAGGGTTCCAAGAATCCTCCTGTGACTACAGTTTATTTGTGTTTCGCCAACAAGGTGTGTATCTGATCTTGTTAATTTATGTCGACGATATTCTGATTACTGGCAATAGTCCTCATCAAATATCTAGCTTGATTACTCGATTGGGAACGCTATTCTCTATGAAAGATTTAGGCCCACTTCATTATTTTTTGGGTGTTGAAGTTAAATACAATGGGACTGCTATGCATTTGTGTCAATCAAAATATGCATTAGACTTGCTTTCTCGCACCAACTTCACTGAAGCCAAGCCAATATCCACCCCGGTCCCATCTGGTCACAAGTTCAATGCGTATGTGGGGGAATCATATGACAAACCCGACGTGTATCGAAGTGTTGTTGGAGCCCTACGGTACATCACCATAACACGCCGTGATTTGTCCTATGTTGTCAACCAAGTGTGCCAATTCATGCATTCTCCTAAAACTACTCATTGGATGGCTGTCAAACGGATTTTACGGTATTTGAAGGCCACGCACACTCATGGGCTTCTATATAAGCCTGGTTCTACTCAAATCAGTGCCTTCTTTGATGCGGATTATGCAGGCAATCCTGATTCTCGGCATTCAACTGGTGGTTTTTGTATATATCACGGTTCAAACCTTGTCTCCTGGAGTTCTAAGAAGCAGAAGACCGTATCTCGGTCTAGTGCTGAGGCAGAGTACAGGCAGTTAGCATACACTGCCGCTGAACTATCGTGGTTTTGGTCTTTATTCAAGGACCTACATTTGCATCTGGATCGTCCTCAGATTTGGTGTGATAATATCTCTTCCATAGCTCTGGCGTCTAATCCAGTTTTCCATGCACGTACCAAGCATTTGGAAGTTGATTATCACTATGTTCGGGAGAAGGTTGTTCGTGGTCAATTATTGGTTAATTACATTTGTTCGCAAGATCAACTTGCAGACTTATTCACCAAAGGCTTGTCCTCGTCTCGATTTCAGTTCCTTGTCTCCAAGCTTCCCGTTGTTCCACAGCCTGTCAGCTTGCGGGGGGCTGTTAGACAAGATAAGCATGCTAAGCTTATTGCCGAAACTTGTGGAGTTTGACTTCGTTCAAACTCTTATCGTTCCAGCCGTTCCTAGTTTCTAGGCTGTTTAGTATTTGTTCTTCTGTTGTATTTTTGAACGTATGGTTGTAATCCTTTTCCTTAGTTTTCTGGTTGTAATCCTTTCCTTGTATCTAGGGTTTTCAAACTCAGTCTGTAATCATGAAACTATTATAAATACATGCATCCCACGATTGTTTGGGTATGTAATTGAAGTGAATATTACAAGTGATTAAGTTTTACAGTTGTCTTAGAATTTTGAAGTACTGAAGCATCAGCAGAGGTCTGATGATCATCACAGCCACTGAGGCATATGACCTTCCCGCCATTTGTTCCTTTCCAAACACCCGATGGAGGGCGGTGATCCTCCCATACGTATCTCCCACTTCTGCATCCATAAATTATGCTAAACTCTTGACTACAACTTGCCAACATTAGATTTTGAGTGGTGATTTGTGCACTCTCATTTTCTCATCCTTTGGATTGAATAAAGGAAGCGCGCACGAGGAGAAAACTGGATTGTGAAAAATCACAACCGTAGATTTTAGCAACAAAATTTAAAACTCGGCTTAGTTACCTGTCGATCCTGCAAAGGAATGCTAAATCTAGAGCAGTACCGCTATGGCAAGCATCCATAAAGGTGTGAAGCTTAACCCCACGAGGAAGAGGTCTTACAATCATTGCATTGATCTCATCGTCTGAAATCAGTCCCGGACTCTTGAAATCCACGGGACACAAGTTTTCGTCATATCCATCCACCTCATCCCCGGTGTAGTTCCTCTTTCTTTTTCCATGACCGGAATAATGGAACACCGAGGAGTCTCCTGGTTGGCAACCTTGCACAAGCCAATGCAGAGCCCTTATTATGTTTTGTTTGGTAGGATGCCGATTTGGGTGAGTTTCTTCTTCTGCAAGTAACTCTCAGCCTGTTCAGTTTCTAGGAAAATAGGTTTAATATCAAATTACCAGGTTGAGAAGTTACCGGTGAGCATGAGAATGGAGGAATCCGGGAAGTGGAACCGATTGACAAGCAAATACTTCATACATTTTGCATCATTGATGCAGCCCTTAAGCTCATGCTTGGAGTCCTTATACGACACAGCGCATATCACAGCTCGTTTGCATCCTCGAGCCAACATAGGTGTCCCTGGTGGTATTTGGCTGTACGGGAGTGGAGGCAGGGTGAGGAGGGGCGGTTGATGAGGCGGGCAGTGGTGGGAATACGAGTACGGGGCTGTATAGGTGGCAACCCGGCATATGGGGTGGTAGACGGGGGCTTCGCCTGGCCGTAGTAGCTGCACCTTTTTATGGCAGTTCGAGCATTGTACAGGCATCAACATGGTGAGAGAGTCTGGGGGGAAACGGGAAGAGAAGATGTTGTGATCATCAACCGCAAATCATGGGACTTTAAATATTCCAAATCTCCAACTTCTCCTGTTAGTTTGGTTAAGATTCGAACACATCTATTCTTCTATGTTTTTTAGATGTTTTTTGCTTCTTCGTTTTATGCTACAATACTTTACATCTTGTTCTTCAATTCTTTTCTGTTCGAACATATTTATGTTAAAAACATGTCGCGGGCTTAATCAAAGCTATTTAGATGTCGAATAATTTGAAGACTAAGCCTTTGACTCTATTTGTGGACATTAAAGACATAGGATTTTGAATCTTGACAGAAAAAAGACTAATTAGGTGTGAATTTTCGTCGGGAGGCTGTTTACGTTGTTTACTTGGTGTAGCTTGTTCTTGTTCCAATGCAAGGAAGTTTCGGATACAGAATTTATCGGTTAGGGTTTATTTGATATCGGATCTACACAGCACGCCTAACAGCCATCGAGCATCATCCAAGACCACGGAAAGATAGATCGGTAAACAATAGAATTAAACACAAGCAGATACAAAATTGGGTTTCTCTGAGAAGTGTACACACGAATAGGAGGGCGGGGCACAATTAATGAATGATTTTGAGCAATAATAGGGAAATCCTGCTTCAATAACTACAAGGAGAAAGGCTTCTTATACACATCAAATGGTTGATTGGCGGTTAGCTGTGGTTCCTGCACAAAAGATTGTTCAAAGCAGAGTTAAAGATGCTAACCGAAACCAACTTAGGCCTGGTTTGGTACTGCGGTGATTCTGAAAAAAAGCTGGTATAAAAAAAAGTTGGAAGTTGTTTTTGTGTTTGGTAAACATTCAGCTTTAGCTTTTTTTCACAGTTTTGGGTGAAAAAAAACCAAAAATAAGAAGTTACCAAACTCAGCTTTGAAAAACCGGTTTTTTTTTCACATCTGTTTTACATAAAAGCTTACCAAACACTATAATACTGCTTTTTTTTTTTTTTTCAAAAGCACTTATACAAAAAAAAGTTTACTAAACACCCTACTGCTTTATTTCACAGCTGTTTATTCTCACAGCACAGCAGAAGCAGTTTTTTTTCAAAACACAGCAATACCAAACCAGCTCTTAATTGATTTAAGATCAAGTTTATCAAAAATCTAATTTTATGGGAGCGTTTAATTGCTCACGCATTTTCGCATTTTGAATACGGTCAAAACGAGTGCAAAAATAATACCTGTCTTAACCCGCCAAGACTCCCTCCTTTCAAAAGCATGGAGATAAGAGATGTCACAATACCACCTCCAACATCATTGTCTGTGTTACGGATGGTAGATCGCATTGCATTCAACATGTTACCATATGTATCTCCATGTCCACGCTCGATGGCTTGGATGAAAGCATAAGTCATGGCACCAGTCGAAGTAATCTTTGACAAAGCCTGCAAACGTGGCCGCGTTAGCTTTGTTTCTTTGAACAGCCCTATGTCAGAAAAGGAGACATTGCTGGTCTAGCATAAATAACAATTTAAGCTTTTGTCCAAGACTTTACTGAGGTATCAGCAGAGGTTTGATCATCATCACAGCCACTAAAGGAAATGACCTCTCCACCGTTTGTTCCTTTCCAAACACCTGATCTAGGGCGATGATCCTCCCATACGTACTTCCCGTTCCTACATTCAATATCAGAATGAATAAACGAAAAAGTACACAGAGCAATGATAAGCACAAAACAGATTGTGGGAGTAACATTATGCACAGATACATAACAAAATATCAAGCTAGAGTTACCTGTCCATCCTACAGAGATATGGTAAATCTAGCACGGTACCACTGTGGCAAGCATCCACAATTGCATGAAGCCTAGCCCCGGTGGGAAGAGGTTTGACAATTGTTGCATTGATCTCATCATCGACAATCATCCCCTGAGTCTCAAAATCTGAAGGACATAGCGTTTCATCAAATCCATCCACCTCATCCCCGGTGTAGTTCCTCTGTTGTGATCCATGACCAGAATAATGAAACACCAAAGAATCCCCTGCTTGACAACCTTGCACAAGCCAAAACAGCGCCATTCTCATATTTTGCTTGGTTGGGTGCCTATAAGGATCAGCTTCTTCTTCTGCAAGCAATACACACGAACATTAACATAACGAGGTTCTAAAGAAACCCGAGTGCATTACTAAAGCAAGCTTTTAACTTTTTACTACCATTTCACAATATGTGGAACAACAGTAACATGGCACAGTCATAATGCAAATGTTCAAAAACTCAGTTCATCAAAACATGATAAAATTTAGATACACCAAAGTAATAATTTTGAATTCTCAATTGTTAATTTGTTATTAACCATACTTAATTGATTACTTAAATGGTAATTGCATAATTATTCACAATGTAGATATCATTAAAATCTACAGGAAAATACCCACTTTGCCAAAACAAAAAAAAAAAAGAAACAAAAAGATCGATGCTTTGCAGCAAATTTAGAACAATTCAACGATTGCGGACCATAAATGTGGAAATTAAGAACACAAGAACTAGTCTTCGCTGACCCATGAATTAAAGTCTTAATTAAACAGATATTAAACATACAATTCAATCCACACGCAACATCAAGCGTTGAAGAAATGGGAAGAGAAAGAGGTTACCGGTGAGCATGAGAATGGAGGATTCTGGAAAGCTGAACTTGTTGACCAGCAAGTACTTCATACACTTGGCGTCGTTAATGCATCCCTTGAGCTCGTGACGGGACCGCTTGTACGACACGGCGCATATCACAGCTCGCTTCCGCCCTTGCACCGACGGAGGAGGCACCGGCGGCGCGTCGATGTAGGGAGAAGTGGAGGGCGGAGGAGGGTTGTGGTTAGATGAGGAGGAGGAGGAAGAGTAGGGCGGAGGTGGAAGAGCGCGGGAGTCGGCGATGCGGGTGAATGCCTGGCACAGGGGGCAGCGGATCGTCCTAGCGCCGGGCGGCAGCTGCAGCGGCGTGTTGCAGCCGGAGCAGTCTACCAGCAACGGCATGCCGGAACTGAATTGAATTGGATTGGGAGAGATTGTTGTGATCGGAAGGCGATGAGAGAGAAGGGATTGAGGAAGAAGGAAATGGTGGGGAGGGAGAGGGGTTGCAAAAGGAGAAGGCTTTTATTGACTTGGTGAAATGGTGGAATGGTGGAGTGGTTCGTGACTTTGGGAGGAAGGTGACGTGAAATGCGAGGGGAAGAGAGAGAGAGAGGAAGTGGAATTCAATTTGACCAATCACAACGGAGCAACGTCATCCAATGTTATGTATTCAGAATTTAAGAGATTTTAATTTTTTTAATAAATCTAGAGGTACATAATCAGAATTTTAAGTAATTATCTGAAATTTAATGTGTATTCAATCAAAATTTTAAGATAGTTTATTAAAATTCTTAGAAATTCGGGTGTATTCAATTAGAATTTTAAAGAAATTTATAACATTTCAGGTGTATTCAATTAAAATTAGAATTTAAAGAATTTGGAAAAGTTGAGGAATTAGAGGGAATTGGAGAGATTTTACCGTGTATTTTAAACATTCACAAATCTCATATCTCCCCTTGAGATTTTCGAGAGAATTGAATCAAAATTTTACATAGAATCTCTACAAATCAGTTAAACTTCCTAAAAATCCATGGATTTATAAATTCATTAAAATCTCTCAAATTCCCAATTGAATACACCCTCTTGGTTTTATGCTGAATTATACTCTCAAACATCAAATGCATGATAAATTTTTCATTATGTCAAAAACATGGTTTAATACATTAAGTATCGTACACCAGACATAAAAAAACAAATTTGACATAAAAAAACAAATTTGAAGTGGTTGCAACGTTCTTCACACATATGATTGATTCAACTAAAAGACATTCTGGTTCCTTATAGTTGTTTATCTTTTCTAGCGTGAGCAGCTATGGAGTTAATCAAGTTAGATAAAATAGTATTTTTCTTTTTATATAAGAGATTTTTTAGTGTTTCGAAAATACAGCTCTATAAAAAAAGTGTAATAATACAATTAAAAACTTGAATAAAAAATTTTCATCAAATTATATTATGACATTTTATATAGAGAATCGTAATGAATTGAAATGTTTCTGAATATTTTATATGTTACTGAAATCAATGCCAATTTTTCCTTTATTTATGCATTAACAAAATTGTGTAGAATCTTTCATAATTGGGTGATGGGCTACAGGACGATGTCCAAACTTAATTTCATAATGAGCTAGTATAATATGGTTCAAATTCACTTTCGGTGAGCGAGTCGAACCTAAAACCTATCATTTACAAATGAAGATAAATATTATTAGACACAAGAGTGATTGATTTTTGATACCTTAGTTTCGGTTGTGCTGATTTTGTCCCTTCAATTTAAGGACACTCCCAATTGGTGTCAATTCCTTGACAAATGAGAAGTACTGGCCATATAGGGGACCTTTAAAATAGTAAACTATATAAATATATAATTGAGAAATTAGAGTAAAAAAGAGTTAAAATAAGTTAAAGTCTAAGAGACAGTGGTGAAAAGCAGTCTTGAATTATCGCGCTTGTTTGATCTCTCTACTCGCTACCTCAATTTTTCTGACGGTTTTCATTTTCAAAGTAATTAGGTTCAATCTCGACTAGTAGAATGCGATGTTAAGAGAAATGAGAGTGAATAGATGCACAATAACCTAAGAAAAGGAAATGGTCTACAATTTTTAGATTTTAAATGTTTTTAATATCTACAACAAAAATGACAAAAAGAAAAAAAAATATTTCTCTCCTCATTCACTCAAATCTTCATGTGAGGTCTCACGAAAATGACAAGAATCACAACTACTAAACTACCGTAACAAAATTGACAAATTCAAACTAGAAGGGAAAAAAAGGAACCTCAACAAAATTAGGGGGTGCAAATGTGAAATTTGGCCCTCAACAGATACGGTCCGTCGTTTCATCTTAGAACATACTATTTAGATTCAATTATCGTTAAAAACGAATCTGAACCACATTATTATTCGTTTATTGTAAGAATTATCTTATTTCCTATATTATATTTATTGTAAGAATTATCTTATTTCCTATATTTATAATATAAATAATACTATTTGTTTAAAAAAAAAAAAAAAAAAAAAAAGAGGATGGTGCCGAAATTATATGACGTGAAGATGAGAACTTTTTATCTTCCTTCTTCCCCCACACCCGCAACAAATCAAGACCCTTTTGACTGATTGATAACTTAGCAGATACTAATTATCGGATTAAGATTCCCTTCCCCCACCACCCCTAATTTTTCTCCCCTTTTTTCTCTTTTTCTTTCAACGGTCAGGATTGTGTTGATTTCATAAAGTTAGAGAGAGATTAAACAGAGAGCGAGCGGAGGAGAGAGGACTATCACTCCCACTCTGCCACTTTCTCCCACACCGTGATTATTTTCTCGGGAAAGTGACAGAAGACAACTGAAAATGGTGGTCAAGAAAAGTCAATCAGCAACCCATTTGGTCAAGGATTCAAAGGTGGAAGTTTGCAGCAATGAAGATGGCTTCAAGGGCGCATGGTTCCCCGCCAAAATCATCGACTCGAAGCCCCTGATTCCGGCGACGAAGAAGAAAAGAAAGAGCTTTTCTGACGGCAGCAGCAACTCCTTCTCACCAACCAAGGCTGTGGTCCAGTACGAGACTCTGCTCTCCGACGACGACCCGGACAAGCCCCTGACGGAGTTTGTCGAGATGGGTCAAATCCGGCCGGTGCCTCCGGACGACAATGTCGACAGGCCCTTCGAGCCCGGCGACAAAGTCGACGCCTTTCACCTCGACGCGTGGTGGCCCGGGGTTGTGATCAAGCGCGAGGAGGATGAGTACACGGTGGGGTTCATGTACCCGCCTGATCTGCTTGTGGTGCGGCGGTCCGAATTGCGTTCTCACTGGGATTTGGCGGACGGCGTTTGGGTCCGAGCCAAAAAGGAGGTACTGGTTCTGGGTTTTTGGTAATGCATGTGGGTTTTGTTTTCTGATGCATGATTTTTCAAGGTTTATGGTTGCAAGGGGTTTTTTGTGTGTTTATTTATGATTTTTTTTTTTTTTTTGAAGATTTCTGACATGGGTTTGTACGTATTTGGCTCTGCCCTCTGTTGTTTTGCTTTAAATTCCCCTTTTTTACTATAAAAAATAAGTTTTTCTCCACCTTGATTGCTTATTTTGGTCCCCAAGTTTCATCATATCTTGGCTAATGTTGTATTTCTCTACCTTGTATTGATCTCTTTTGCAATGAATCTGACTTTCTTCTAATTTTGGGAGAGGATAGAAAATTTTCTTTTGCTATATATGGTTGTCAATTGTCACAGACAGAAACTGATATTTTTCCCTATTGTTTGATAGATGATGATGGTATCAAATTTCAGCCCTGGGACAGCAGTTGAAATGAATCCGGACGAAGAAAGACTATTTTATGCTTGGTTTCCAGCAATTTATCTTGGTCAACTGGGGATCGACTCTTTCTTGCTTCAATATAAGAAATCAAACAACAGTGATGTTAAAATTGTTGTACGTGGCCATCAGATTCGGCCTCAGCCTCCAAATTCGACTGAAAGAGATTTTAGCTTGTTGGATAAAGTGGATGCATTCCATGACATGGGTTGGTGGGTCGGAGATATTACAAAAGTTCTTAAAGGAAACAAGTATGCGGTCACTTTAAGTTGCACGAGGCAGGAGAAGGAATTCAGCCTTTCAGAATTGAGGACTCACATGGATTGGAATGATGGAGGATGGGCTACTATGAGCCATGGAAGATGGATTACTGAAGTTCGGGTACGTGTATTTTTTCCTCTTGTTTTATAAGTGGAAAGGTGATGGCCATTACTTGTTTCTTATGCGCAAGATGGTAATCATGTTTGAAACATTCTGTGTCTTGGAAATGAGATCATTAATATGTAATTTTATTCAGAAAGATTTAACGATGTTCTTGTACATTCAAGTTGCTATGCTGAAGAGCATTTGATGGATTCAAATTAGTTGTGTGTGACTAAAATTCTGGCGGTTCTTTTCAGGAATTTCACTTTAGAAGGGGGTCTGAAGCACAATCAAAGCATTCATGTCAGAGTTCCAAACGTGATTATGAATTACAATCTTGTGAGAGTTTCGGAAACTCTGACGTAGGTACACCACTTCGAAAGAAAACACCTTGTTCTAGGATCTCAGTGAAAATTCAATCGAAGCCCTTGAGTCCTTGCACGGATAAATTACCTTATGGAAAGACCAAAAAGAAATTGAAAATGTCTCCGCAACCTAAAGATGATGCAACAATTTTAACGCAACCTAAAGATGATGCAACAATTTTAAGTCTTTACAAGAAGTTAAAAGGTGGGCATTCAGATGACTCCTTATCTTTGGAGAAACCATTTGCAAGGAGAACGCTGGTTAAAACTCTAAACAAAGAATCCCCAGTTATTAATGTTTTGGTAAGTGAACTCTTTGAAAAATGTTGTTGGTATTTAATTATTTATTCTCCTATAGCTGAATGTTCCTTTGTGGTATACAAATTCATGATTCCAGTCTTCCCTTTCTAACCTCATTAACTTGCTCTATTCTATGCATTTTACTCAAGATGCCCTGTAATCACTGAGAAGTGTGTTGGTTCACTCAGTATTGGTTAAAGTACTTGAGTCGGTGAGTATTATCAAAACTACTTAAAACTAAACGGGCAACACTCACCGACTCAATTAATTCCAAGGGCAGGGTTAACTAGTGCTCATCACCGGGGACATGTCAGTACATAAAACTACTCAGTTTTCATCTCTGCATGATATTTAATAGGAAAACAACAAAAATAGGCCTCTGTTGCCTCTATCGTTTGTATGGCATAATAATGCCTAATGGAAATATTCCAAGATTAAGGTTAGGTTCATATTCTCGGAGGCCTCTGTATTCATTCATTTTGCTTGAGTAAGCAGTCCAAGCGGCTTGCCTTCTTTTAGGTCCATTCAAGGATAATTGGGATCAAATCTTTCATCTTCATTATTTGAAAGTAGAAGTGCTATACAAAGAAAGCCGTGCACTATTTTTCCTCTGATTTTGTTCTTCTAAAACCTACTGGTCCTGATTAAAATGCGTTATTTGCTTTTGCAGAAGATTGCGAAACAGAAGGTTAGAGGACTAGATGATCAAGCATTAACTCATTTCAAAAGAAAAGGTAAACCACGGAAACCTCAAAGTGATATCCCGTGACCTAGAGTAGGACATGATAGGAGGGGCAGACCACTGAAATTGCATGGTAAAAAAATCAATAGCCCTCAGAAACAGACATATACACGATAGGTCCACATAATCAAGCAATAATTTTGAAAGCAAGGGTAAACCATGAATATCTCAAGCTGATATCCGATGGCCTTGAGTAAGACATAAGAAACTTTTAACATTACATGATATTTCTATGCTAATAGGTTCATTGGATAATCCACATAAAATAAATGTGTATAAACTATTGCAGGCAAGAAAAGCAGTGAAATCGAAAAGACCGGTGAAGTAAATGTTGGAGATGAGCATGTAATGGACAACACTGAATCTTCTGGTATCAAGTCAGAGTCTGAAGCAACAGGGGGATCTCATGCTGAAGCATCATGTCTGCTCCGTATGGAGGTATTTATATCTGAAGCCAGTATGCTATGCTTCTTTCATTTGTCTCTACATATCAGAAGTTCAGGAACTGTAACCTACATTAAGCTTTTGCGTAAATTCCAATGCACGACCAATATGACAATGTAAGACTTTTCTGTTCAAAACAAAGAGATGTTTCTCTTGTTTGTTGAAAGACATATATTAGACATAAATATGAAGTGTTGTTTTTTTATCTATAATTAATTCGAAGGTTTCAGCTGTCCAATAATCTCTTGAAAAGTTATGGATTTGGAGGTACCATATTGGGATTTCTTTGCTTGTAATTTAGTTTTATTCATCACGATGCTTGTTCTTAACTCATTCAGGGGGTTGGACAAAATGAAGATGGAGTGAGCAGTGCAGTAGAAGGGAATGGAAAACTGACTGCATTGCTTGTTGAAGGTGTGTATATGTCAAACCTACAGCATTCTGTAGATCTGTAATTATTTCAAAATCTAATGTTTGCTAGCATGTGCAGGCGAGGAACATAATGGCGGTGGATCTATGGCTGCGGATTGCTCGAATGATATATTCGAATTGTCTATGATCACAAGGTTGGATTTGAAAGGTATGGGAGGCTAACAACCCCAAAAATCCACTAAGCACAGTGGAATAGAACACTGTAGCCTAAATAATTTCTACTTTGGCAGGTGAGAAGCACGATGGAACTGGAGTTGTTGCTCAAGTTGAATCGACTGAGACTCAAGTTGCAAAAGATAAAGGTATGACACATCACAACCTGAAGAACCTTAAGTTCATAAAAACTAATTACAGGAACTAGTGTGTAATTTAATTTGAATGCTTCTTACTTTCCCCTTCCCATCACTGCTCTGCTCTTACTTTGTCAAAATCTCAGGTTCTGAAGATGCAATGGTCGAAGAGGAAGCTGTACATTCTGCAATGGATATCGATAAAGGCATTACAAGTATTACAGTGGGCTCAAGTAAGCTATCAAGAATATTTTGAAGGAATTTCTTTGGCTATAGTTGTTTGAATAACGTCAATGTTGTGTTATAGGTAACCCTGCTGGGATTTCCAAACAACAAAGTGAGGTCAGACAACAGGTTGAAACTGGCGTAATAGGTGACGTTGACAGTCCACATTTGCCTTTTCTGAAAATTCTACAGTAGGGGAAAAACATTGAAACCATGGATGTATTCAAACTATTGCTAGGCCAAGAGAAATGTTAGACTAAACATAATAGGGATGTACTTTTTCCTTGTTTCCCCCCTATGGAAGTACTTGTCTTATTCATTTTCAGGTTCTGAAGAAGCAATGAGAGAGATGGAAACTGTGAATTCGACAATGGATTACTTGACACAAGAAGGTCAGGTGGCTGTGACTGGAGTATTGCCAAAGACATCTGCTCATGATCAACCTTTATCACTGTGCATAAATGAAATGCATTCTGTAAAAACCATAGGTGGTACAAGTAAGATATTGTGATGAAAATTCAGTGGATTCCTTTGCCTGTAGCTCTTTGACTAACATCAAGTTTGTTTCCTAGGTAACCCTGCTGGGACTGCCAGCCAACAAAATGAGGTTAATGGAAGACAAGTTGAAATTAGTGTCACAGGTGAGGTGGAGAAACACGACAGTCCACCTTTGGTTTTTGGAAAAAAATTGAATCCATGGGTTCCTTTTCCCGTAGCAAGTTTGACTAATCTCAAGATTGTGTTCTAGGTAACCTTGATGGGACTCCGAACCAACAAAACGAGGTTAATGGAAGACAAGTTGAAACTGGTGTCACAGATGGGGCCGATGCGGAGCAAAACAACAGTACTTATTTATCCTTTTTCCTTTTGCCCTCATTTGGTAGTACTTATTTTTCCTATCTACTTTTGTCTTGTTTGTATGAAATTTCCATGTTATCAAGATGCAGTGAGACAGGTGGAAACTGTTGATTCTCCAATGGGTTGCTTGACAAAAGAACTTCAGGTGGCTGTGACTGGAATATCCAAAAAGGCATCTGCTCATGATCAACCCTTTTTGTTGTGCACAAGTGAAATGTATTCTGTCAAACCTACAGAGGGCTCAAGTAAGCAAATGTGAAAATTTTCAATAGATTCCTTTGACTAGTTATTTTGATTTTGTCGAGTCTGTTGTAGGTAACCCAGCCGAGACTGATAACCAACAAAATGAGGTTACAGGTACACAAGTTGAAACTGGTGTCGCTGTTAACATTGAGCAACAAGACAGTCCAGATTCGCCATTTGTGAAATCTTATCCTGAAATTTGGCAAAAAGTTGAATCTATGGATGCATTTAGAAGATATCCGCAAAAACCACATTTTTATCCTTTAGTTAAGTGTGGAGAGCTTAGTCGTGAATCATTAGCCATTGCAAAGATGCTAACCTTTGCCTCTTTGGTTGAGAAGACCTCCAAGTTGAACATTGAGGTTCCTGACGACTTCTTTGATAGCAGCTTCCAAGAACTAGGTGATTTAGAAACGTTTGGATTTGATGTCAAGGGAGTACGTGACCGTCTGAACTCTTTGCTAGAAATGAAAGTTCAGTTGGGGCAGCTTCAGGATAAGTCAAAGGAAGTTGAAATTCAGATTGCTGAGCAAACTCAAGAAAGAAAGAAACATAATGAAAAAATCAGTGGGGTTGCTAAGCAGATTAAGGACTTGCAGGATCAACTGGTGGTGCTAATGTCAGAGGATGCGGCCAAGGGTACTGAAATTAGCAGGTTGCAATCCGAAGAAAACGCCATCGCTGAAAGCATTCTGAGCACCCGTCGTAACTTTGAGAAACTGAGCGAAGCATGGTGATCCTTGTGATACCATTCTTTTGACTGTAATGGTGAAAGTGATACCAAGCTAGTCTGTAGTTTATTTTGTAACAGCTATTAGCCCTACAAATGGTGGCAAAAGGTATCTGTACTGCAGTGTCGTCAGCCAGTAATTAAGTTAACCTCTTTCTGGTGTATATTTAGCCTCTAGTTTCCTTTCAGCAAATTTTGGGTAAGAACCCATGATTGATGGAGAGAAACTTGTACAATTTCGATGTCATGCGCAGTCATTGTGTTTTAACTTTTTCACGTGCCATCTCGTGATTAGTTTAAGATACTGCTATCTTGGCGTCTAGTTAAACTTAAAACTGAGGAAATGAAATTTTACACATAATTGCAAAAGAATCATTGATCCACAACCTAAAACCAAGTAAAACTAGTGAACTGCCCCTGTTTCTTTTCCTACAAGGCAACAACACTGCTTGCTTGGACCCGCTTTATATTTTCTTCACCAAGAGAAGCGAGATTCATTATTCGTTGCAGACTTTGAAGCCGTATATTCTCGGAACATAGTTCTGAATCGTCTTCTGCGGCTTAAGATGCCCGTAGGTCAAGAAGAAAAGGTGAGGAAATGTGGTTCCAAAGTATGCTCCATCAATTTCTGAGATTGTTGTCAAGGCAAACATTGAAAAACTGCTCCAGAACAAAACAAAATTGGCGTAATCGAAAATTCTAGTTTACGGCATGTATGGCAGACATCTGAATTTAACAACTGAATATGCACTTAAGAATCGCATGAAATTTAACAGGTGGATATGAGGCACTTAAAAGGCAATGTATACTATTCTTAGATATTCATAGATGTATAGTAGAAGCACTCGTCATGTCATTTACAAAGTCATACATAAGGATACGTTCTGGTGTCTGGATTGAGGGGAATAAATGTCTTCACACTTGGGACAGTAGATTTGTACAGTGCTTAATCTTGGGATGTCTGACTGACCAACAGGCAAACAACGTTGTTTATTGCAGTTAACTCTTGGACATCTGCCAAAATCATAGTTCCTGTACTTCTCCAACTGAATTGCACAAATTAGCAAGCCTCAAGTCTAATGCCACACTCCGAAACACGAACAGTATTTCGGGGTGTGACACCTAATATTTTGAAAGAAAATAAAGCAATTAATATGTATTTTGTAAACACCTTACCATTGCAGACAATCCTTTGTTAGTTGCTATGTATCTGGCATGTATTAAACCATAGAGCATCTCCGCCGCGGATTCGATCAGATTGTTCTGTTCCTCATCAGTCAAGCCATCTGTTGATCTCATTGGAAATTACATAATAACTTAATAGCTTCGAACTACAATGGCAGCTGAAATCTTCATCCAAGTAATTTTGGTTGATGGACTTATCTGATTCTTACCATTGGAAGACTCAACGTCCAAAATTAAATCCAGTGCATAATCATAGAACGTTACATGGTTTCTTAAACCTGAACGGTTGAAATCATCGAGGATGTAATCGTTGTCGACTTCACAAAAGAATTCATTTCCTTTCTGATTGCAGAACCATGATATCCAGGATGCATCTTCATCATCATAGCATCTAACTTCTAAATCTTTGCAACTTGTATCAGCTGATTCCTCTACACAATTGTAGTGGGGAAACATACATTCAAAAGATTAATTATAAACACATCAGAAAGAATGCAACCTGGGGTTTATAGAATTAAATCAAAACCAAATTGTTGAACAAAAATGAGCTAGAGACACTACTACAAAAAGGGGCAGTATTTTGATTAGCCACGGCTAATCTTAAGTATGCTATTATGGTGTTTTGGAAGAAGTTTTTTTTCCTAATTAATTGCCCATTGCGATTTACTCAAATAAAAATTTATCGCCAAACACATGATGAATGGTGAAGAAAGTTGGTTCCACCATAAAATTAAATGGTAATACGAGAGTAACCCAATTACTTATAAGCACATTCAATGTCCCTTCTTTCTGCAATTAATGTATAATTGATACCCTAAACATGGCCTCTCACGTGTAACGAATTTGTAAGCTTAGCACGTGGATAACACAAATCGGGTGACGTACGTGTGACCTTTGAGCTTTACCGTGGGACAACCTGCTCTGATACTAAAAAGAAAGTTGAGGTTTTACCATAAAACAATTGGCAATATAAGAAGTAGGCCAAGTACTTATGAGCATATATATACTTTGTCCATTCTTTCCCCGATGTGAGATTCACTCTCAATAGATGGAAAAAAATTACTATAGGTTAAAACCAAATTCAAAAAACCTTTTTAACATGAATTAGTTGATCTATTCAAATGATACAAATATGAATCCTTAAGCAAATGTTGATCTAGTTGTATTTATCTTCCACAATTAACGTTGAAACATGTCATGAATTTGAATTTTCCAGCCCCAATGATAAAAAACGAAAATGCCATGACATGTAAGCTTTCGTTAACCATTCTATGATGAACATAATATGAATTACTGCAAAACCTAGTACTAGGAAAATAACAAGGAAATTAATTTTGAAAAATGTGTACGTGAATATTGTGGGATTATGCATGCATGCATGAACGTTGAATAATGTGTGTGGAACTGAAACTTACCCTGATCATAGAATGTATCAATATCGTTGGGATTGGGGGCAAGTGACATAGAAGGAGCCAAAGCTTTGTCTCTGAGTCGACTAGGGTTCAAAGCCGGTTCAGAACGTGATCTAATTACACCTCTGTGATTTTTAGGCATAATAATATATACTCAGTCTCTCCCTTGATCTGTCTGGACCTGGAAGCAATGTGCAATTCCGGTTTCTGTATCGACGGCTATTTCAACGTACATTTGGATCTGGAAGTGGCAATCAAAGGGGAAAATAATTTTAATTTTAATTTTTTATTTTGATGAAATACTTGATTTCTTTTTTGTTATCGGGAAAATAAAAAAACTTTAGAATAATAAAGAAATACTCTTTCAAATTCTAAATAAATAATAAAGAATTACTATTTTAATTTCTACATAAAATTTATTTTAAAATTATTTATGCAATGTTGATAAACCCATTAAGGATGGTATTGTTTGCCACTAAGTCATTTAATTATAAAATAAATAATTTTTTAATATTATTAAGTAACAATTTTTGTCTTGTATTCGTCAAATTTGAACTCATCATAAGCTCCTCCAGCAAAGTATAGACGGTTTAATATATATATATATATGTATATATATGTGTATATATATGTATATATATATGTGTATATATATATGTATATATGTCAATGATAGGGTTTTTGGTCCTTGCCCATTGATTCTTATCTTCAGCGGAGCTGGAAGACAAAGGTCTTACCAGTTCCAGTTGCAGTGTTACAATCAGAGACTTTCGTTGAGGCGTTTGAACACCGTACACCAGTCATCTTATTAACTTAAATAAGAACTAGCCGTTACAATTTAAAACAAACTAGCCCTTCAATTCTTTGAGGGACTTCTCACAAACCAAGAAACCAATTTAGGTTCCAAAATAGATTCAATGTTAGATCATACCCAATTTAAGATAAGATTAATTTTTTTTATTTTTAACAAACGATATCGTCTACAATATGTTAAGTCTCATAGTGGGCTAACCATATTAATGGACTAGACGGACTGACCAATTTCTTGTATTCAAATTATATGGATTTGCGGTTTACCTATTTCTAGAATTCTGAACAATTGGCTCTGTTAGAAGTGTGTCTGTTACCAAGTAATACATGGCTGAATGGCTAATGCTTTTTCGGCGCCAAATTAATAGAAGCATAATCTCTACTAATATGTTGAAACAAAAAAAAAAAATAATAATAATAATTGAGTCGTAAAAGAATCAATTTAAGACCCAGGAATTCCTCCATCCCTCCGTTTTCAGCACACCACCCCTGAAAATAGAGAAGTGTATATAGGACTTTAACTAGTTGAATTTTAATCCTCTATAATATGGACGATATATTAGCGCCATATAGGTTGTTCTAATGTGTCTTTGACGCGGAGAGAGAGAGAGAGAGAGAGAGAGAGAGAGAGAGAGAGAGAGAGAGAGAGTGCTTCAAGAGGGCTGAGTTTGAATATAAAGAATTTTAAGATGTAAAGTGAGTCGAGTTTTAAGAATGTTGCGGTAAATATATCAATCATAGAACCAAAATTAAGCTATCCATGTTCTTTCCCAAATTAAGCTGTTGCTTCTATAGCTAGTGGTTTTTTATATCGTTAATACAAAGGGTGGATTTGAAATCCCAACAAACATAAGCCCCAAATGACGAATCAAACTATCCGAAAAGTTATCCAAGTCTCCCATATTTTGGGTTACTAACCCCTCTAATCTTACACTTTGCCTTAAAGTACCTCATGCTTTGTGGACTATAAAATCAAAACCTTCCACCACTCTAATCAATAGCACCAAAAAAACAAAACCAAAAAATAAAATGGCCGGAAAAAACAAATGCATGGGCGTCCATGCAGCTTTAATCATGACAATTCTCCTCTCTGCCACCATTGCCATGGCGGACGACAATACACCCGTACCAGCCGCCCTTTCCCAAGTCAACACGTGGTTCAATAACAATGTGAAGCCGTACACACAGCGGCAGAAAACGCTTGACCCTGCCGTTGTGACGGCCGAGGCTGGTCAAAAAGTCATCAAGGTCATGCAAGATGGAAAAGGAAACTTCAAGACCGTCACCGACGCCATTAATAGCATTCCGGCCGGGAATACCAAACGTGTCATTGTGTACATTGGAACAGGAGAGTACAAAGAAAAAATTACGATTCCGCGAAATAAACCATTTGTGACATTATATGGTTCTCCAACAAATATGCCAATTTTGACATTTGATGGCACGGCCCAGAAGTATGGAACTGTAAACAGTGCCACAATTATTGCAGAATCCGACTACTTTGTTGCTGCTAATCTTAATATTAAAGTAAGCTGTTTAAGTCATATCACGTGATATTACCGTTATATAATTATTTTGATTAACATTTTGGTGGATTGGTTTGTGTAGAACTCTTCACCAAGGCCAGATGGGAAAAGAGTGGGAGCGCAGGCAGTGGCATTGAGGGTGTCGGGGAACAAAGCAGCCTTGTACAATTGCAAGCTGTTTGGGTTTCAGGACACCCTTTGTGATGACAGGGGCAATCATTTGTTCAAGGACTGCTACATTGAAGGCACTGTGGATTTCATTTGGGGAAGTGGAAAGTCTCTCTATTTGGTAATTACTGCCTCCCAATCTAACCTATAATTCCTAAATAGAGCCGGTGATTTTAACCTTATTACCTGGCAGAGTCTGACTGTAGCAATGTATTTCATGTACATGTTGTGAGAAAAAGTTTACATATGATTGACTTATACAATTATCTTTTTCTTCCATTGAAAAATTATGTATGAGATCATGTCATATATAGGAACAATATTTGAGTCTCATCATATTAACAGTGGAATCCACATGATTATTCCCCGTCCCCTTCCCAAAACATTATTTGAGGGGGTTAACATATAGTTAATCTTTTTGTTTGTCAAGTCATGGTTTTGAACTTTTGATGGTTGGTGATTAATAATGCAACATATAATTAATGGGTGCAGAACACTGAGTTGCATGTGCTGGGGGATAATGGAATAACGGTGATAACAGCACAGGCAAGGGACTCAGATTCGGAGGACACTGGATACTCATTTGTTCACTGCAAGATAACTGGGACAGGCATTGGCACATACTTGGGAAGGGCTTGGAGGGCCAGACCCCAGGTGGTGTATGCATACACCAACATGACCAAGGTGGTAAACCCTGCCGGATGGAGCAACGATAACCACTCCGAACGTGACAAGTGAGCAGATTATGCTAATTAAAACAAAATTAAGCATTTTCGCATAATTAATTTTTGAAATTAATTAATAAGTTATTTGATATTGCAGAACTGTGTCCTACGGAGAGTACAAGTGCATGGGTCCAGGTTCAAGTAAGAATAATAAGAGAAATTTGAGCAAAGAGCTGACGGACGAACAAGCCAAGCGTTTCATTAGCCTTGGCTATATTCAGGGTTCCAAATGGCTGCTTCCTCCTCCAAATCTAAAAGTGTAGTTTTATATATAGTATACGATACACTACTAATAATACCGTTAGGCGTAGGGAAATAGTTGATTTTTCTATGTATATATCTGGGTGCCATTGAGTAAGCCACACGCATGCATGCCTCATGCAAAATGTACGTATATCATGAGCTAGCAGTGTATAAAACTAATATCGTACCTTACTTTGTATAGAATCCGCTTATATATGCACATATATTCGACTTTGTGGACTGGTTAGCATTCTTATAAAGAAAAACTAATGAAAATGACTGAAAACTTTGAGTTTTAATGATGAGGACAAAATAAAGGGTAAAGTAAATAGTACCATGATTGACTTTTTAGTGTAAAAATATGATTTTTCGTTAAAGTGAACAGTACCGCCGACTTTTCGTTAAAACTCCCTTCTTATAACTACCCTTTCAATTTGCAGAGAATAAGAATTGCTTGCATTTTCAAAGTGTTATCGATGTATCTCATAAAAAGCTTGAACTTTTTAATAGCTACACGAAAGAGAAATGATAATATCAAATACTGGTTCAGATTCTAGACTAATATATCCATCCTCCTTGAAAATATCCATTTTCAAGAAATTAGGTAGGTAAATAATCCGCAACATATATCAATTGAGGCATCAATTAAGCTTAGGCCACTCTACATTGTATTTTAATGATCAAACCATTGATCTTTTAATTATTCTCTTAATGATCATTTCTACCAAAAGTTGCATAAGTCGGAACACATATGACCTTTCGTTAACTGGTAGTTATTTAAGTGTTTCTTTGAAGCATCAAATTTGTCGATTTTCTTCACTACAATTGGATATATATGTTAATGATTTTGGATTGTCTAATTTTTTACAAAGATGACCTGTAAATGGTAGATTAAAATATAGACGGTATGAATTGTTGAAAAAAATTATATAATGGGGGGCACAAGGCATCCTTTAGAAGGGGACTGTAAATACATAAAGAAATGATAGACATATACCATTTTTAGCTTTTACACACACTATTTAATGACCTTTTTTTCGGTTTGATTTGTTTAATCCGATAATTAGAAATAAAGGTGTGTGTAAGAAGCTGAAATAGTGTGAAATAATCAACTCCCTATGTGTATTATGCATATCATATATAGCTAAACCAAAACAAATCTATGACAAGTTAAGAGTTCTGGATTTTGTTTTTGGCATCAATGTAAAGGCTGAGACAAAAGAAATTAATATCAACAGAGACAACAAACCCATATATTTCCAAAAAGATTAATTATTAAGGAATTACTTCAAAATTAGTACACAATAATTATATATTTCTTTAGTTATTACAAACGATATTATTACTCTAAGTTACACTAAAAAAACTAGGAGAATTTGAGCATGGGACACAATAAATTAAAGAGAATCATACCCTTTTTTTTTATAAACATTGCTACCTCTCAGCACACTATAATAGTGCATAAGGATGGAGGCATCTAAGGCTCAATGAGACGGCCCCCTACTTATTAAAGTTTTGTGCGAAGGAAAAAAAAAATGATGCTTACATAAGGGCAGATAATATATGTATCATATTATTCATGCTTCTTCAAATAAATATAAAGTGAAAGACAACAATTAATTTTTCTACTTGAATGTTTGATTCTGCATTAGTTACTGTGTTTTGCAAATGAATGTAAAAGAGTGACTAATAAGAAGTAGATGATTTTTGAGAGAAGAGAAAGTACTTCACATTCAGAGCATGAGTGTACATATTATAGTGAGCTCCAAAGCATGCTAGCTCCTGCTCGAAAAACAAATGGAGACATAAATTGAGGAAGAAATATTATTAGGATTCTTACGAGAATAAAAAGGGAATTGTAGAGAGAGAGGATACGGAAAGGAAGAGCGGAGTTGACGAAGAACTTTTAAAATATGGCAGGAAAAGAAATGGCTGATGTTGATGCGCTAATTTCCTATAAGGTACAAACAAAATCGGTGGGAGAAAGTAAACATAATGACTTTAAATATGATTAACCAACTCTAACTAATATTGAGGCTTTTTTTGAGAAAGCCCCAAAACTGACGGATTTGGCAAGTGATAATTTCGAGGTGGGAACAATATTAGTGTGTTAGAGGCAGTGGGAGGCGTTGGCGTGATCGTCAGGAATGCGGCTGGGGATTTTATAGCAGCTACGGCTTTGAAGTTGACTGGTATTGCATCATCTATGCTTGCGGAGATTGCAGCTGCTCGTGAAGCTGCTTTATTTGCTCACCAATGGCAGATTGAACATGTGATATTGGAAGGAGATGCACTTTTGGTGATAGCTGCAATTCAAAATAATTTGGCGGCCAATCATGGGCCATTTGGGCATTTGATGGATGACACAAGACGGATCCTGCAATCTTTCCAACTGTGGAAAGCTAACTTTGTGCGAAGAGATGCCAATACAGTGGCTCATCGGTTAGCTAGATTTAGTTTAACTTTGGAGCATCCCGTCTCTTGGTTTGAGGACCCTCCTGATATAGTTTCTGAACTTATTTTGGAGGATAGTTTTAATTATTAAGTTTGTTGGTCTGGAATACTCTTTTCCCCTTCATTCGGGTTGTTTCCCGGGAATGTTTTTATTGAGGCCCACTGTTAGCATCCTTTCTTTGATTGTACGTTGTTCCCGTTATGAAATGAATATCGTACTTGAATTTCAAAAAAAAAAAAAAACTTGAATTTATTATATTTAAGTACTTTAATTGATCAGTTGAGATTTCCAAATAATATGTATAATAATAAGCGATCATTGTGAAAAAAATGCATACAAGTTGGCTTAATGAAATTTGAGGAAAAAAAAAAAGCAATGAGATTATAGAAGATATTCTACTATCTTAATTTTTTTTTTCTCAAGTATAACTGGAGGTTGAGGTTGCCCCGACTAAAAATGTTTCTCGCTCCCCTCCCTATGGTGCAACAATGTTATGGATTATTAATTACTGTCTTTAGCTACTTTTAATTTTGGCTATGCATTTTTTTAGTAGGTAATATAATTAGCTCTCAAGAGAGCCCTAAAATAGTAGGGAGAAAGCCTTAGAATCTGAAACGTATAATTGCCATTAGAAATTAACATGTGCGAGAGCTAGAGCTCTCTAACCTCACATATTTTGGGTCAATCCTATAATCATGGATTGTGGTATTATTCATTCATAAACAACCATCAACCTACTGCTCTAGCTAATCAGTAGAATAAAGCTGAAAACTTAGATTTGAGATTCCAGAAAAGTTTAGAATGTTTTTGAATAGTTTTCGAGCAAAACTTAACTTTTTTTAATATATTGTGCGTCAAGAAGGAGAAAGATGGCCGGAAAAACGCCATGCATGTTCATTCATGCATCTCTGATGATAATAACAATTATACTCACTTCAAGTACCGCTGCCATCGCCGATGATACGATACCGATACCTTCCGATAGTTCCCAAGTAGCTAGCTGGTTCGATAATAATGTGAAAACCTACAATGTACGAAAGTCAACGCTTGACCCTGCCCTTGTTGCAGCTGAGCATGCTCCCCAGGTCATCAATGTCATGCAAGATGGAGGTGGAAACTTCAAGACCATCACCGACGCCATCAATAGCATTCCAGCCGGGAACACAAAACGCGTGTTTGTGTACATCAAAGGAGGAGTGTACAACGAGAAAATCACAATTCCACATAACAAACCCTTTGTTACGTTATATGGATCGCCAAAAAGTATGCCAAATATTACATTTGATGGCACTGCGCAGAAGTATGGCACTGTGTATAGTGGCACATTGATCGTGGAATCAGACTATTTTAAGGCTGTTAATCTTGTTATTATAGTATGTAATTCTCCAAGAAAAGTACTATATAAGGGGACTCTCTCAAAAATGAAGCTATTCATAAACTTTTTATCACCTCATGCTTTCCGCACAATGTTTTACGATAGTGCTATCTACACACCCATTTTTACTTACCCCTCTTAATTTTCGACCGTCGGATCAAATGAATTAAAAATATCAATGATAAAAAATTAATAAGGATGTTTTGGGAGATAAAAGAGGGTGTATGAATAACACTATCGTATTTTATAGTGTTGGGCATTGAGAGTCTCACTTTTGAGAGAGTCCCCTTAGCATTCCTCTTATCCAAACTCACATTTACAGCGTCATTTTGATGGTAATTAAAAATTAATAGATTGATGTAGGGATTTTTTTTGTTTTGTTGTAGAATTCAGCGCCGGAGCCGGATGGAATAAGAGAGGGTGCACAGGCAGTTGCATTGCAGATATCCGGGAACAAGGCAGCCTTCTACAATTGCAAAATGATTGGATATCAGGACACCCTTTATGATTACAAGGGGTTGCATTTGTTCAAAGACTGCTTCATTCAAGGCACTGTAGATTTCATATTTGGAAAAGGAAAATCCCTCTACTTGGTACGTAATTAAAGTCCATGAGAAATTTTTAGGTTGAACGTCACAGTGCAACGTAGAGTTACATAATCAACTTAAATAATTATGAAGTGTCTTTTATTTGTTGAAGTTATATTTAGAAGTATAAGTTTATCGTCGACCCACCCATGTTATATTTTCAATCCTCTTCTCATGTATAGTGTGATACTTTGGTGCAGAACACTGAGATACATGTCGTAGAACGGAATTTGACAGTGATAACGGCACAACAAAGGGACAGTGCCTCGGAGGATAGTGGATTTTCGTTTGTGCATTGCAAAATAACTGGCACCACGTATGCTCGTCGGACATATTTGGGTAGGGCTTGGGGAAGCAGCCCCAACGTGGTGGTTGCCTACACCGACATAGCGGATATTGTCCACCCTGAACGGTGGAGTGATTTTGGCCACCCTGAACGTGAATCGTAAGCAAATTCTTTCCCATTTTTTTGCCCAAATTTTTTTATTAGTGCTTTATTATTCTTGGAATCCATGTATATTAATTTGATTTATGTGGTATTTTTGCAGCAATTTGTTCTATGGAGAGTACAACAATTGGGGTCAAGGGTCAAATATAACCGGTCAAGCACGCTACACCAGAAAACTAAGCGATGCAGAAGCAAAACCTTTCATCAGCCTTGGCAATATTCAGGGTTCCAAATGGCTTCTTCCTCAGTAGCATTGTTTGAAAATATATAGGAAATTATTTTTTACCTATTTAGGTGAGGTTAACTGAGAAAGCTTATGCATTACGTACAGTATTACATGTAACACATTGATATGTGTTGAAAAATATAAGTGTAAATTTGTAATCAGCGACTTGTAAATCTGGAATCAAATTATTAATGATAAGACACTAATTAACCGGCCAACCCCACCCCAATACTTACTTTCCCCCTCAAGACTCTTTTTTTTAATTTTTTTATTATTAAAACCTTGGCCGTATAAAGAGAATTTTGTTGATATTGAGAAACAAAGTTACGCCTAGTCATGAGCTAAAAGCATTATCTCTCATAATACAAGAGAAAGAATACAAAAAAAAGGAGGGACATAAATTTTATGCCTCTAAAAATTAAATTAAGAAAAATACAAATAAAAGTTAGGGATATAAACTTAACCTTTCTAATGTCAAACATAAAAGTCTAAACCTAACCTTGAAGAATTTGTAGAGGTACGTAATAAAAGATAGGGGCCATTTTAATATTTGATATTAAATTTTAAATTAAGATACTTGATGTAGAAATAGACATTTTTCATGTATTTAGCAGATTTTTTTTATACATATCAATGTACAAACTGTCAACGGTTAGAAAATTCTAGGGCCCCACCGCTTAGAACCCCCAAATTCTCAGGGCCAGCCTTGGCACTCCTTTCAGTTGCCACCCAAAGTTGACAGATTGCTGTTGTGCATTTCGGATCTCTCTACTCATATGGATCATCAGAATAAACAGGATCTGAATTGAGGCGAGAATCAGATTGCCATGCGAATCACTGCCCAAAATGGTAGAAAATATGGTCTCACAGATATGAACTTTGAAGATATTAGAAAAGCATCACAAATCTTACGTCACTTGACATCAGTGATCGTTCTGAGAACACATTTACTTCTTCAATGCCTAGCTAGATGGATTTTCAGACTTCAAAATCTAGTTTTTCTCCTACATAGCCAACACTTAACTGTTGTAAAAACTTGTTATGTTTCTCCTTATTCCTCTCTTCTGTGTTTTTTTGTTCTTTTTGTCTCAAGAAATTGATTTTTCTTGTAAGAATCTTACACCTCAGAAACAACTTGTCTTCAAGACTGATTAAATTTAACAAATTGTCATACGAGTGGCTCTCTACCACAATGGTGGAGAGGAGTGTGGCTCTTGCACCACGGCGTGTGTTCGAACCCCATCAGCTCTTTTTTCTAAACTTTAATCTAACAAATATTGTGTCTGAGAGTCAAAATAACTAGTTTAATCCATCTTATCATCTAATGAAACTTTTGTCAAAGATTCCAAGAGTCCGTCCGACCACTACTGTTATTGATGTGCATCGATTTTGAAAATACGGTCTCATGCCGTAGAGGATGGTTTAGATCCAAACTGCTCATGCCGTAGAAAGTGCTCATCCGTAAAGGATGGTTTAGAAAAAGGTGAGGCTCCCTAGTTTATATAGCTAGCATTACTCTGGATAGCTCATTGCTCATACACATCACCTACTTCATACACTAAAACTATATGGAGAGAAGCACGAGAGTTGTTTTACTACTAATCAGGTTTCTAGCTATTGCAACCATTACTATCCGTATTGGTTTATGCAATGGAAATCTCCGTTGGCCTCCACTTTGGAAAGAAAGTGAAAGACAAGCACTTCTAATGTTCAAGCAAGATCTCAATGAAGAACTTACAGGCCTCCTCGCATTGCAGTCATTCAACTTATCAAAATATCGCTTCACCGGAATAATTCCTTCAAAGATTGGTAACATGAGATGGTTAGAATCTCTCAATTTGTCCACGAACAAACTCCATGGCGAAATTCCTTCGAGCATGATGAATTTGACATTTCTAAGTCGCTTGAACTTGACCCATAACAATTTGACGGGAAGAATTCCGGAAAGCACTCAGCTGCAGAGCCTTGATCAGTCTAGCTTCGTCAACAACAAAATCTGCGGACCTCCGCTCAACAAGAATTGCAACGTGAATGGGGCGATTAAGCCACAAACAGTTGAGCAGGATGGAGGTGGAGGATACCATTTACTCAAAGACAAGTGGTTCTACGTGACCTTGGGACTTAGACTCTCCACGGGGTTTTGGATTGTGCTTGGTTCTTTGCTGGTAAACATGCCATGGAGCATTCTTCTTTCAGGATAGGATAGTGCTTTAACTGTATCGTATAATTGTTGAATATGTTTAGCTTTGTTTTGTATTTTGAGTGAGCTTGTTGTTGTTGGCATTTCCTTTGCGTGACGAATAAGCCAGTATGGTTGAACGGTATGTATTTCTCAAATTTCATCCTTTTGTTTGATTGTAGTTGTTTTTTACTTTGTTTTACAAAAATATTATCCCTTGTAAAATTAAAAGACTTGTTCTCGGAACAAGTACCTTCCATTCAGCAAAAGTAAATTGAATGACATGGAAACGTGCAAAAATAGTTTAAGGAATAGTCATCTGTTAATTAATTATTAGCAAACTTGCATTATTTCATGGTTGTATTTTTAATTGGTTTTTTTATTTACAGTTTTGCCTCTCGATCTTTCTTTTGTTCTCTCTCCCCTTCTTCGTACGATTACTTCTCTCTCTTATTTGTACTAATTCACGTGACACCCTTCTGCTCTTTCTACTCAATGTTTTCTCTCTTGCTCTCCATTAGCCATAGATTCCATTATTTGTTTCTTGATTGAACTTTGTTCATCCTTTCTTTCATTTTATTTTTCTGCCATTTAAGATAAGAGAGGCATTCTCCGGCATTCATATTGATGCCAATATACGTAAAGTTTACAGATTTGAAATTGGATACGTTATGAAGCACCTTTGTTGTTCCTAGAATAAATAAAACGAATCGATTCGACATGTACCGATATGTAGTTGCTTGACATCCTAAGCATAAGGGTTAAGAAGAGGGCTCTGTTTAAATCTCTGGGAAGTGCAGGACAAGGGCATAAATTGCATGTACAAAAGAAGAAAAATGAAATGTCAGAAGTAAAATCCCTCGTCTCTGCTTGTGGATGAATGCATCATGCATGCTACAACGACAGTGAAGGAAGAATAGAAAGTTTCGCAGAATCCGACTCCAGTACTCTACATGAGTCTCCAGCATTAGTGAAACTTCATCTCATTTGGTTTGCTTCCCCTAAATGCTGAAAGAGAGTATTGAACTCTTAATCAAGCGAATTAGAAATGGCGCGATGAAATTCTGTATGCAGGTGTAGAAAAATTTGCAGGAAAATAAATAAATCAAAGAGAACGATACCGTGTTTTTAGTGATGTAATTCAGGTTCTGTTTATTGTGATTTTAAATTACATGATCCTGTACCTGTATACTTGTCTAATCTGTCTTTTTTTGTTGTAAGCAATGTGTTGCTATTGTATTGAAATAGTACATATCTGCTATTTGGATAATATGTAAAAGCATTTTTAAAGGAGATGTCAAATATAATATGTTAAAATTTTATTTGATGTCAAAATTTCTAATGGATGTGTCAAATATTTATTTTATTATTTTATTGGGCCTAGAGTTACATTATCTATTAAAAAATAATCAAAATTAATTGTAGTTTTTATTCTATTGGTTGTTAATAGGACCCATGTATTATAAAAATTCAATTAAATATATTTGACTTCTTCTTTGTTTGCTGTCAAAAAATGCAGCTAGAAAGTAAGGAGTCAAATGACTCCTCACATGCCACATCATATATGGCATATCTATTGGAGAACACTTAAATGTTTTTTAATCTATTTGACATATTTGACATCTCATTTGGAGATGGTTTAATAGAACAAAATTATGTTACAAATCTGGGCTAACAACACTATACAAAAATCTTACCTTAAATGCCTCAAAGTCACTTCAATTATTTGCCCTACTCAACTTAATTTAGTTCCCTTTTTTTTCTCAAATTTGTTTATGGCATGATTGTTTGATCTTTACTAAATAGTTGTTTAGAAATGGTGATTAAAACGAGACTCATATTTTTTGTTTTGCAGAAATATGCGATGTATGATAGGCGAGAATTCTTCTTCATCGTGAACATTCAGGTAAATCCTGTCTTTCAATATTTTTCTATTATCCTTTGCATTGTTCTTTCTCGAGTTTTTTGTGAGATTTGTTGGAATGGTGGTTGTTTAGTGGTTTTCTAGGTTGCTGAGAAAAGAATATTAGGTAACGTGGTAGTTTAGGGGATGGCTATGGCCCTTGACGGATTTCAAATCAAGACAATGTTTTAGTTTAAACTTTCAGGTAACCAAAGGCAGAGGCAAATTTTGATTTTTGCCTTCCTTTTTCTCGCCCCCCACTTTGGGGATGGGGGCGGGTTGGGGGTGGGTCGGAGAAGCATGTAACAAAGGTTATAATCTTTGAAGGTCGATTGAACAATTCTATTAGCGTATCTATTGAAGGTTGTTTGGATTCATATATATATATATATATATATATATTTTAAATATGTCTAGAAATCATAAAGATGCTTCTGAAGAATGATAAGTTTCAATTTCCAAAATTTTATTGTAATGTTTTTTCGATAGTGCCAAAGAGCTAAAACGGAGAGATGTATTCTTTTTTAGTTCTGTTTTTTGGTTTTGTTTTTGGATTGCTCCCGGTTGAAAAAGGATGAATATTTTTTATTATTTTCTCTCTCATTTCACTATCTATTTCTATAAAATCTCATACACATGAATATTGGCATCAGGGCGGACGGCATGAAAATGTTAATGCATTTTCCTCTGCTAGTTTATCAATATGAAAGGTTATCTATACTATTATTAAACCCTCCTTTCAACTTTTTGCCATTTTTTTTTATTTTACCCTAATTTTTGATACACAATACTTACATAAGAAGGTAAAATAGTAATTTTGTTTTGAGAAAATGTCAATCATATCCCTATTTTTCCTATTTTACCATCATTTTTGATACACAATATTTACATAAGTAGGATAAAACAGTAATTATGCAATATTAAGATAAAATATTCACTTATTAAGAGAAATTATTCCACCATCGTTATTTCATACTCTTTTTAAAATTTTAAAAATTAATCACGCTCCTTAATTAAAAAAACAAAAAACAAAAAACAAAATGAAAATTTTCACTGTGTCCATATCTTCGGAA